TGTGTGTCTTGTGTCTGTCTGTATGTGTGTATGTGTCTTTGTATGTATGTCTTATGTGTGTGTCTGTATGCATGTCTGTGTGTGTGTCTGTATGTATGTGTGCCTGTCTGTTTGTATGTATGTATTTATGTGTCTTGTGTGTGTGTGTGTGTGTCTGTATGTGTGCCTGTCTGTGTGTCTCTATGTATGTGTGTGCCTATCTGTCTGTGTATGTGAGTCTTGTGTGTGTGTCTGTACGTATGTATGTATGTGTGCCTGTCTGTTATAGTGGGCTATAGTAAGTAATAGTAAGTGGGATACCTAGCTCAGCCTTCCTACTGGGCATTGCTATAAGGAAGGTTAAAACATTTTTAAAAAGGGGGGAGGGGGGAAGGTGGGGAGGGGAATTGAGGAGGGAGAGGAGGGGAGCTGACACACAGATGAGAAATCATATTATGCACAAACAGAGAAGTCGTCTGAGTATCACCGTAAGAGGAGACCTTCGTTTGTTCCTTACGAAAATCGAACCAGATATCAAATATTTAGTCTTGCAGCATCAACCTCAAGGATCTCATTAATCACTAGTAAAGGTAATTTCAATTTACTTTATTGTTTTCTCATTAAACTTTAAAAGTTAAAAACATTATAAACATGCATTAAGTAGAAATAAAAAGATAAATGTACGTACATTTATTTTTTTTAAAACACCCTCCTTTCGAAAAAATATTTCACACTTGTGCGAAAACTGGTGGGCGATAAGGAAATTTTTTCAGCCAAAAAGATGCATTAGTGGGCGGTAGGTAGAAAACGGTTGACTACCACTGCCTTAGATTAAATCTCCTTTCTTCCAGCCTAGATTCGTGACCTTGTGTCCTATGTATAGCCCTGTTTATGAATAGATTTCCAGATAATGGTTTGTACTGGCTTGAATATATTTGTATAATTTTATCATATCCCCTCTGAGGCGCAGTTTTTCCAAACTAAAGAGATTTAAATTTCTTAACTTTTCTTCGTAACTAAAATTCTCCATTCCTTTTATTAATTTTGTAGCTCGGCTTTGCACTTTTTCTAGTGCCATGATATCCTTCTTTAGAACAGGTGCCCAAAATTGCACAGCATATTCAACGTGTGGTCTTACCAGCGATTTTCAAAGAGGCAAAATTATATATAAAACCATCTCCTTTCTATCCTATCTCCATTTTCTAGATCGCTATGACTCTTCCCCTACTAATTACAGTTTAAAACCTCCTCCAACCTTCAAGCCATCCTATCCTCCAGCACAGCAGACCCTCTTCAGTTTAGGTGCAATCCATCATTGCTATACAGGTTGTACCCAAGCACAAAATCGTCCCAGTGCTCTAAAAATCCAAAACACTCTTTCCTGCACCAAGACTTCAGCCACGCATTGACCTCTCTAATCTCCTGCTGCCTTTCTGCTGTAGCGCCTTAGAGGTCCTTTTCTTTAGCTTAATTCCTAGTTCCCTGGACTCATTCTTTAGGACCTTCCATTTTCCTCTGACTTTGTCATTGGTACCAATATAGACCATGACAGCTGGGTCATCCCCAGCCCCTCTCAATAATCCTTCCACTCTGTCAGCAACATGCCGGACCCGAGCACTCGGGAGACAGCAAACTGTCCGGTTGAGACGATCAGAGTGGCAGATTACTTTATCTACTCTCTTCCCTTGTCTAAACTGGATTATGATGTTATATGATGTCATTTGATAGATCTTTATAATAAATTGAAAAAAAAAAGGAAAGCATTTCATGAAAACAAATTCAACACAAGTTGTGGGTGATTTTCAATCCTAAATTGACAAACACATTGTAATAAAAACACCCACTAAATTGAGAATTGTAAAGAAATAACAACAGAAATATTTTCAAATCTGTAATTTCATTATCCACAATTCCTGTCCTATGCCATACATCTATAACTTTTTTTAGTGCCGTTTTCCTGGCACTACAGGGTTAGTAGGTCCCCCCAACCTCCCTCATGCCCCCTCCCGTGGGGCTGAAGGGGTTAAAACTCATTCAGCCACATACCTGAATCTAGCACCAATGTCCCTCGGCCCTGGGGCATGCTCCGCCCAGACTTCTGCCCCTCCAACATTACCTGGCAGGGGAGTCCTAATGCTTTCCTATGGGGAAGATCTGACACTGGAGGTCCGTGAGGACCTCCAGCGTCAGATAACGGACCAAAAGTCTGTTTGGATTCCAGAAACGCCCCCAGTGGCTGTCAGGCACTGCAATGTCTGGAACTGCAATGTTTTACATTGCAGCACTAAGTGCAAAAGGGTCACAGCACCCAGACAACTTCAATTAGCTGAAGTGGTCTGTGTGCCTACAGTGTCCCTTTAATTCACAGTTTATTTAATAAATAGTTTACTTTCCTATGTATGCTTGCAACTATATTTCAATCTGATAGCTTTGTGATTATTGCTGCAGCATCATTATCTCAAATATCTGCTGAAATCTGATGCAGCTTTTTACCCAAGATTGTAAAAGTTAACTGTTTCTTTTCTGGTTAAATAAGTTGATTGCAGTTATCATAAGTATTTTAAAATGTTTTTTATCGCACATCATTAGTTGTGTAGAATTTGTTTTTAGAGTAGGATACATGAAATACATACTAAAGATTTACACACACACTCTCTCTTACTTTAATACTTTTGTTTAGTATACATGCAGTCAGGGCTGGCCAGGATAAAAAAAATTTGAAAAAATTGCGACGGGGCGGGGCTTACCTGCGGCAGGGGCAGGGCTTACTGCTGCAGGGGAAGTGCCGTGTAACTGCTGCAGGGGAAGCAGGGGAAGTGCTGTGTAACTACTGTAGGGGAAGCAGGAAGTGCAGTGTAACTGCTGCAGGGGAAGCAGGAAGGAGTCCCTGCTTCCCCCAACAACCAGAATCAGAATCCAGGAGCTGTGTGTGTGTGTGTGGGTGTGTGACTGTCTGTGTGTTTGACTGTCTGCCTGTGTGTATGACTATCTGCCTGTGTGTGTGACTGTCTGTGTGTATTACTAAGTCTGTGTGTATGACTGTCTGCCTGTGTGTGAGACTATCTGCCTGTGTGTGTGTGTGTGTGTGACTGTCTGCCTGTGTGTGCCTGCCTATGTGTGACTGTCTGGGCAGACCAGATGGGCCGAATGGTTCTTATCTGCCGTCACATTCTGTGTTTCTATGTCTGTCTATGTCTGTGTGTGTGTGTGTGTGTGTGGCTGTCTGCCTGTGTTTTTGTGTGTGGCTGTCTGTGTGTTGCTGTCTGCCTGTGTGTTTGTGTGTGGCTGTCTGTGTGTGGCTGTCTGCCTCTGTGTTTGTGTGTGGCTGTCTGCCTATGTGTTTGTGTGTCGCTTTGCCTGTGTGTTTGTGTGTGGCTCTCTGCATGTGTGTTTGTGTGTGGCTGTCTGTGTGTGGCTGTCTACCTCTGTGTGTGTAACTGCCTATGTGTGACTGTCTGGGCAGACTAGATGGGCCGAATGGTTCTTATCTGCCGTCACAGTCTATGTTTCTATGTCTGTGTGTGCGTGTGGCTGTCGGCGTGTGGCTGTCGGCGTGTGGCTGTCGGCGTGTGGCTGTCTGTGTGTGGCTGTCTGCGTGTGTGTGTGACAGGGTGTGTGGGAAGGTGGGATAGGAAGGGGGGGGGGCGCTGTGAAGATTTTTCACACAGGGAGCCCAAAGGCCTAAGGCCGGCCCTGCATGCAGTGGCAAAACTAATATAGAGAGGGTCCTGATGCAAGTATTTTTTTGGGCTCCTGCTATCGCAAGTGTGGCCAAAAGGTAGGTCACCATCTGTTATGCAATTCCCACACTGCTGTGACAGCTGGGGCTCTACCTTTTTCCCATGTCTGCATGGTTGTATTTAGCACTGAGCAGTGTCTGTGTGTTTGAATGTAAGTAGAGTTGAGCGAACACCTGGATGTTCGGGTCCGGCGGGTTCGGCCAAACTTTGATCGAACTTGCCCCTGAACTTGACCCCGAACCCAAACCCAAACCCCATTGAAGTCAATGGAGACCTGAACTTTTGGCCACAAAAATGCCTCTAAAATAGTCCTGGAAAGGGCTAGAGGGCTGCAAAAGGAAGTAAAATGGGGGTATGAGTAGGATAAGTGCCCTGCAAACAAATGTGGATAGTGAAATCACTTAAAATAACATCAAAATTAAAAATACAGCTGAGCCATAAATTACCACTAGATGGAATCTTTGATTTTAGCTTTGGAAGAACATAAATCAAAATCTAAAGCATGGCTGTCAGGAGGATCACCAGAATTATCCATTTGAGAGAGGGTTGGAGTGCAAAGTATTCTCTTTCATTGTTCAAACTGAGCTCAACACCTGATGCATGGAGAAAAGGCCTTCACAAGCCTCTGCTATTGTGTTTATACCAAGTGACGCATAGGTTGAGGAGGCGGTGTCCGTGGTGGTGTAGGTGGAAGCGGCGGTGGAGGAGGAGGAGGTAGCCAACACTGTTTTTTAGATATATATATTTTTTGAATTGGTGTAGCCCCCATAATATTGGGACATATAAAAAAATAAACATTTGCGGCCTGCGGTGCATTTCTTGCAGTCCTGATACATGGAGAAATGCTCAACTCCTGATGCGTGAAGAAAAGGCCTTCACAAGCCTCTGCTATTGTGTACATAGGTTGAGGAGGTGGTGACCCATGATAAGTGACCCATAGGTTGAGGAGGTGGTGACTGTGGCGGTGGAAGCAGCGGTGGAGGAGGAGGAGGTAGCCAACACTGTATATATATATTTTTTTTATTTTAATTGGGGTAGCCCCCAAAATATTGGGACATATAAAAAAAGAAAACTGTTCTGCAGAGTGACTGACCCGTGCGTCTGAAACTCTACTATTGCCTGCTGCTGCTCGCACAGTCTCATGAGGCGGTGAGCAGGAAGGCCGAAGTTACGCTGCAGCGCAGACAGGCAAGCAGCAGCAGGGTGAGAACGCCAAAAGCACGCACAGATGGCCCACACTTTCTGCAGCAGCTCTGATATATCTGGGTATACACCGTGGCATCACAAGGGCCACCCAGAACTGGCTCAACTCAAGTTCCTGGAGGAGATCACCCAGCTTGTCATGCTAGAGCACTTTTTCAATGTGCTCCCCAACGAGAAGGCGACGCATTCGTATGTCAATCCATATTAACTTTCGATGCCATTGACTGCGCCTACCATGGTGACCACGGGTAACGGGGAATCAGGGTTCAATTCCGTACAGGGACCCTTACAAATGGCTACCACATGCAAGGAAGGCAGCAGGCGCGCAAATGACCCACTCCCGATGCGGGAAGGTAGTGACGACAAATAATAATACAGGACTCTATAGAGGCACTATAATTGTAATGAGTCCACTTGAAATCCTTTAACTCTGATCAATTGGAGGGAAGTCTGGTGCAGAGCCACTGACCCGTGCGTGCTGCAGGTGGAACTCCACTATCGCTTGCTGCTGCTCAAACAGTCTCTCCAGCATGTGCAAGGTGGAGTTCCACCTAGTGGGCACGTCTCATGTGAGGCAGTGAGCGGGAAGGCCAAGTTATGCTGCAGTGCAGACAGGCGAGCAGCAGCAGGGTGAGAACGCCGAAAGCGCGCACAGCCACTACATTGAATGTCACATCCTGTTCTAAGTTGCGGATCAGTCTGGTGATGGCTTCTGGTATCCAGTACTCTTTTTACTGAAGCTGCATCAGGGTCCTGGTATGTGGCCGCACAAACGCTAGTGCTCAACACCAGGGGGCGTGCGTTTACCCTGCACCAGACCCTGCTAATCCATTCCACACTGTGATTCCTAACTTCTACATCAGGCATACTGGGTCCCAGTCGTCCGACCACCGCCCAGACAGTGTCTGGGTCCCGGTCACCGGACTGCGAAAATATGAGTGGCTCGTTAAATCCGTTATGGTTCTTTTTATCGCTTCAACTGTTACTTGGATAACTGTGGGAATTCTAAAGATAAAACATGCCGACAAGCGCTAGGGGATGGCTGCTCCGCTTTTGCACCCTGCTCCCTCTTATGCTGTGCTGGTGCCTCTGTGCGACCAGCGCCTCTTCCTGCAAACTGCACACGTCACTCGCATGACCTTGATTCCATGTGGGGTCTAGGACCTCATCATACTCCACATCATCTTCCACCCACTGCTCAACCCTGCCCTCCTTGCCGGTATGCACACTACAGAAAGCCACAGCAGTTGGCACCTGTGTTTTTCCAGCATGTAAAGTCTGCAAAGGACATATAGAAATTGTTTTAGAATTGTATCCAGGCAACAGTTTTCCCTATAAACTGACCTCTCAGTTTGACTTGTGAGGGTTTTGCCCCAGAATTACAATATTGTTTAAGTACCTATTGATAACTGGCTTAAATATAGCAGCTTGTTATCTGGTAGTTTCTAGTATAGAAAATATCAATCTGTTTTCTATCACTTAGATCAGGGTAACAAGTGTTGTAGGTGTGAAACAATATTACAAGTGACGATGTAGTAAATTCGAATCAAAGTTCCATTTGCAAAAAAAATTCTCGCCTATCTTCTGTGGGTTATTGAATTTTTAAGATGTAGACTTATTGTATCACAATAGCCATGCACAGGTAGATTGTCTGGCACGTTGTTTTGGTGTTTGGTCTTTAACTTTGTAGTTGTGTCTTTACACAATATAGAAATGTATATTAATGCTTCTGTATTTGAAGTGATCACAATAAAACTTATTTTTCACTTTAAAAAAAAAAAAAATAAGGCTAAACAAAAATTGGTGATTAACAATATGACATCTGAAAAGCAAATGAAGGGATGCTGTATGATTGTAAAAACAAGAACACACTACATGAAGGTCCTGTTCACTATAGTGTGTAGTCATGAATGTAACCAGTAAAATTTTGTTTTTACAGCCACTGGTTGGCCCATACATATTTTAAAACTTATTTAATTTTGTTATAGCATGACTTGTAGTCTTGTTTTTAACTTGTCTATAATACATATTTTTGTATGACACAGTGTGTTTTTTCATTGATTTTTGAATTTTAATGGTCTAAGATAATTAACATGTCAACAGGCAAACGTAACCCGAATGATTTGTCTCAGTCTTGCCTTCTATACTACCTGCACCATAGGCAACATTTATTTGTCTTTAGACTTTCTTGAGAAGCGGTAACTAGCCAGTGTTGCACACACACACCAGATATGAAGTGCACACCCCAAATGTACTATTTAGCACACAGAAAATAAGAATGTTTACAACTGTGCTGTAAGCGCAATATTAGACACTTTGATTTGACTCTCAGATACGAAGAGCAGGCCCCAAAATGTACTATTTAGCAGTTTAGCACCGGGAAAATAAGAATGTTTACAACTCCGCTGTAAGCGCACTATTTGATGCTTGTATTTGACTCTCAGATATGAAGTGCACGGTCAAAATTTACTTTTTACAAGTGTGCTGTAAGCGCACTATTAGACTCTTCGATTTGACTCTCAGATATGAAGAGCAGGCCCAAAATGTACTATTTAGCAGATTGGCACCAAGAAAATAAGACTTTTTACAAGTGCGCTGTAAGCGCACTATTAGTCGCTTCGATCTGACTCTCAGATATGAAGACCACGCCCCAAAATGTACTATTTAGAAGATTAGCACCCAGAAAATTAGAATGTTTACAACTGCGCTGTAAGCGCACTATTAGACGCTTCTATTTGACTCTCAGATATGAAGAGCATGCCCAAAATGTACTATTTCGCAGATTAGCACCCAGAAAATAAGAATTTTTACAAGGGCGCATTACAGCGCACTATTGGACGCTTCAATTTGACTCTCAGATATGAAGTGCACGCCCCAAAATGTACTATTTAGCAGATTAGCACCCAGAAAATTAGAACGTTTACAACTGAGCTGTAAGCGCACTATTAGACGCTTCGATTTGACTCTCAGATATGAAGAGCAGGCCCCAAAGTGTACTATTTAGCAGATTAGCAGCCAGAAAATAAGATTGTTTACAATTGTGCTCTAACCGCAGTATTTGACGCTTCTATTTAAATCTGAGATATGAAGTGCACGCCCCAAAATTTACTATTTAGAAGATTAGCACCCAGAAAATTAGAATGTTTACAACTGCGCTGTAAGCGCACTATTAAATGCTTCGATTTGACTCTCAGATATGAAGAGCAGACCCCAAAATGTACTATTTAGCAGATTAGCACCCAGAAAATAAGAATGTTTACAACTGCGCTTTAAGCGCACTGTTAGACGCTTTGATTTGACTCTCAGATATGAAGAGCACGCCCCAAAATGTACTATTTAGCAGTTTAGCACCAAAACAATTAGAATGTTTACAACTGCGCTGTAAGCGCACTATTTGACGCTTCTATTTGACTCTCAGATATGAAGTGCCCCGCACTAAAATACTATTTAGCAGTTAAACACCAGAAAAATTTAAAGTTTTAAAACTGCAATGTGACAGCAGTATTTGACGCTTCTATTTGACTCTCAGATATGAAGTGCACCCCACTAATGTACTATTTAGCACCAAAAAAAATTTACTTTTTAAAACTCCGATGTAACCGCGGTATTTGACGCTTCTATTTGACTCTCAGATATGAAGTGCACCCCACTAATGTACTAGTTTGCAGAATTCTTTCCAAAGCTGTCCCTCACAGCGGTAGCATCCTCTCCCTACACTAATAAGACCTCATGTGCGTGCGGCGCTACGCGACTCCAGCTTAGATATAGAGGCTGGGTCACATGCTGCACTGGCCAATCACAGCCATGCCATTAGTAGGCATGGCTGTGATGGCTTCTAAGGGCACACAAGTCAAACGCTTGTTGATTGGCTGCCCTGCAGCCTTTCAAAACGCGCCATTAAATCAAGGAACACCGAACTCCAATCCGAACATACAGTGATATGTCCGTGTTCGGGTCCGGGGTCCAAAAAATTTTAATGTTCGGTACGAACCCAAACTTTACAGTCCGGGTTCGCTCAACTCTAAATGTAAGCATGTTTTTGTGAATGCATTTTTGTGTATTGTTGGTTTTTGAATGCAAAGGTGTGTTTATATATAATTTTTGGCAGAAGGGTGTTTTCACGTAGTGTTGATGTCTAAATACATGGGTGTATTTATGTGTAGTGTTGGCGTTTGAATGCTGAGATGTATGCACATACACAAATACACTGTCGCACACACATTTTGATATACAAACAAAATACACACACTAACACATGCAGATACACAGACACACACTGAAACACATGCAGAGAGACAGAAATACACACTGACACATATGAAGATATACATGACACACATATACACACACTGACACACTGAAACACATGCAGATAGACAGAAATACACAGTGATACACATGCAGATATACAGGACACACATATACACACATGCAGATACAGACACAGATACACACACTGACACACATGCAGATACACAGACAACACAGATACGCACACTGGTACACATACAGTTACAGACACATTGCAGGAAGACTCTAGAGACAATCTTAACACTGCAGTGTAAGCATTGCAGTTCCTCCAAAACTGTAATATTTTTATTGCAGGGTTAAGGGGACTGGGACAGTGCACCCAGACCACATCAATGAGATGAAGTGGTCTGGGTGCTTATAGCGCCCCTTTAAGAATCAGACACTAAACTCATTTTACATATGAAAAGTGGGCTGCCAAGTTAATATCATGTACATGAAAAAAAGCTCAAGAACTACTGCTTTATTGCAAGTAAAACATCTTAGCACTTCCAAAGCCATAGCACCTGCCAACCTTTCCTTACTCTGTCCTGAAACTGATAGCTGTTTGATCTGTTAATGGCACAATGCTCGCAGCCTCCAGCAGCCCATATCCAGCCTGGCAGGCGTAGAGCACCGAGGTTTTGGATTAACATTATCCGTACATTTAATATTTTGACTGAGAAACAAAGCAGCTGTGAACTGAGCGCAAGGCCTTATGCTGCCGTTATCTGGACCTGCGCCACGACCCATGTTTTAATCCTGTGGGTCGCCCTCTTGGCCACATGCCATATTCACCTAGTTTTAGAAAGTACTAATCTCTTAATGTATTGGCCCTGGCAGGAGATAGTTATTGTAACAACCTTTCCGTGTACTGTATGTTTTGAATTGCTTGTTGCAAAATCAAACAGAAGATTGTATCAAGCTCCCAAGTGTCAAAGTACCAAGAAACCTGCAGGTAAATTGCTGCATGTTCAGAGTGCCAATCAGTGTAATTACTCATCAGATTGTCTGCTCTTTAAATGGACACTAAATGAAGTAATCCAGGTGCAGTTGCCTTTCAGTTTGAACCCTGCAATGTTCATGGGCTTCTGCAGGAATTTTTCTGGGGGGGGGGCATAATTGTAATGACATCCATGCAGGAATACAACAAATTAAAGGAACATTCTGGTCACCATAACAACTTCATCTAAATGAAAATGCAATGATGCCAGGAGGCCCCTGGGTGCTCTCTTTCCTTTAAGGGGTTAAACCGCTCTCAAATGGTTTAACCCCAAAAGGCTTCCTCCAGCTCCAGATGTCCAGGTCGCTCAGTGCTATTCGGCTTCTGAAACGGAGTGTCAGGAAGAGCAGATTGACGTCAGGCATGGGTGCCACTGATTGGCTAGAGTGGTCAGCTGACGCTCTAAGCAAATTGCTAGTTCCCGATTCATAACATTTTTTACGTTTTTATGAATGGGTTAGAGTGCCAGCTGACCGTTGTAGCCAATCAGCGGTATCCCTACCTAGCAGCCCTCTGGGTTTCCTGACACTCAGTAAATCAAAGTGAAAACATTAACACTGATCTGTTTTTTACCTGCGCAAATGAGAAGGTCCAAAGTTTCCTGCCAGGCCCAGGTACAAAAGCCTTATGATGTGGTGTCCAGAATGAAGTGGAGGGATCACTTCACTTGTCCTTCCTGCTCCAATCTAATTTTCTTCTCCATTTGACACAGTCTTCTCTCCTCTTGGCTCCTTCTGCTCCTTTACCTTTCTGCTACTTTCTGGTTATTTTGCACCCTTCTGCTCCTTTCTCTTTCTGATCCCTTTCTGCTCCTTGCAGACCCTTCCTTCTCCTTGCTGACCCCTCCTGCTCCTTGCTGACCCTTTCTGCTTCTTGCTGACCCTTCCTGTTCCTTGAAGACCCTTTCTGCTCCTTGCAGACCCTTTCTGCTCCTTGCTGACCCCTCCCGCCCCTTTGATGACCCTTCCTACTCCTTGCTGACCCCTCCTGCCTCTTGCTGACCATTCCTGTTCATTGCTGACCCCTCCTGCTCCTTGCTGACCCTTTCTACTCCTTGCTGACCCTTCCTGCTTCTTGCTGACCCCTCCTGCTCCTTGCTAACTCTTTCTGCTCTTTGCTGACCCTCCTGCTCCTTGCTGACCCTCTCTGCTCCTTGCTGCCCCTTCCTACTCCTTGCTGACCCTTCCTGCTCCTTGCTGATCTTTCCTGCTTCTTGCAGCCCCTTCCACTCCTCCTATTCCTTGCTGATCCCTCCTGCCCCTTGCAGAACCTTTCTGCTCCTTCTACTTTACCTCTCCCCCATCCCTCACTTATCTGATCTGCAGGCTACACTCTGTGCTGCTAACCTGCGGATGCAGTCAGGAGAAAGAAGCAGGGATAATCTGTAGCTTCCTATCCCTGCCTTTCTCCATTCACCTACTGGCCGGCGCCAAGCTGAAAAATCCAGGGGGGGACAAGTGCTCCCCCTTTGTCCCCCTCCTGCGGACACCCATGGCAATGTTATGATTTCAGTGTTAAACACATCTCTAGAGGCTGTCTTCCTGACTTTCAAAAGAGGTGCTTCCACTGAATAACCGAGTCAAACTTGGTTATTGCATGAAATCGAATCACATTCTCAGCCAGAGAGGTCAGATGAGAAAGTAAAAAAACTACCTTCAAAACACTCGAGCGATTGTCATAAAAAGACAGAATAGAAGAGTAACACGATAACGATAGGAATATATTTTTGTATTCCTAAATTACAAACGACTAAACTATAATGTTAGGAATACAAAACTGTATTCCTAACATTAGTGTCCCTCTGCCTCCTCAGCTCCCCATGGTCATGAAAAGGTTAATACCATTTTATTCACTTACTTAATGCCAGTGCCGATGTCCCTTGATGCTGAATTGGACTCTTCCAACGTCAACGCGATCCAGTAACCTCATGTGAATGTGTGGCGAGTGCCATGCACGCATTACACCTTCTCCATGGTAAATCTTCGACTTATTGCTTTCCTATGGGGCTTATACACACTCTGCACTCACTACAATCACACTACATTCATTATACACATCACTCACCACACACACTGCATTCATTATACACACTCTGTACTCACTACAAACACACTACATTCATTATACACACTCTGCACTCACTACAATCACACTACATTCATTATACACAATGCACTCACCACACACACTGCATTCATTATACACACTCCGCACTCACTACAAACAAACTACATTCATTATACACACTCTGCACTCACTACAAACACACCACATTCATTATACACACTCTGCAATCACTACAAACACACTACATTCACTATACTCACTCTGCACTCACTACACTCACACTACATTCATTATACACACTGCACTCACTACACACATGGCATTCATTATACACACTCTGCAATCACTACAAACACACTGCATTCATTATACACACTCTGCAATCACTACAAACACACTACATTCATTATACACACTCTGCACTCACTAGAAACACATTATTTTCAGTATGCACAATCTGCACTCACTACAAACACACCACATTCATTATTCATACTCTGCATTCACTACAAACACACTACATTCATTATACACACGTTGCACTGCACAATATGCATAGG